TCTTCCGATCTACATCGCTCGTCGACTATGGTTTTGCCACCTCAAATAAACATATCAAACATTGATTCTTCCAACTTCCACCACGCAATGCATTTTATATGATGTATATTTTTTACTTCGAGCCAAGACCTTCCTCCTAAGGATGGGCCTCATTTGTAATCAATTGCAAGTGCTAGTGGATTCATTCAAATTGGGCCAGGCCCCGTGGTTTTTCCCCCTTTTTTAGGGGTTTCCACGTAAAAACTCTGGTGTCTCTTATGAACTCTACACCCTCATCTCTTCATCTTCTTGTGTTCTGGATCTTCGTACAAAGCTAAGGCATTAATTTTTATATTTCTCTACCGCTGCGAATTTTCCAGGATGCAACAAGAATAATTTTTAGTAGCTTTTAAGAAAATTATTTACAACCATCATCCTTATTATACTGATTTATGAAGAGGAATAATCATATGAGAATAATTTTCTTATCAAAATTGATTGCAAAATTATAAACATTTGTTCTATTTGTTTTGGTTTGATATTTTAATAGTTGGACTTATTCATTTCAATTGAAAATATGCATAATTTGGTGTTGAATCAAAATGAATTGTGCAGACCCCTAGCTAGTTGCAAGATTTTAGTAGTGCATTTTATCCACTAATAAGATAATTAGTAGGTGATTATTGATAAGAAAAATAATATCATTCTATTTTATTTTGTTCGGTTTTGTTTTTAACGAATTTTGAACTCTTAATTAAGGGTTTTGCATTTAGTCAATTTGGGTGGATTGGTTGATGAGTTTGTTAAACCAATTGGGCCGATTCAAATTATAAGTAGAATCAAAATTTAGAGTAATAATCAAACCATCTTCATAAACCGAATTAAACCAACAAAATATGCTCAATTTCATTTGACTTTATGATTTAGGCCAACTAAAGCGCACCCTTACTGACCGACACCATTGCATGTTGTCAGTCAACACTATGTCAATCGTTGATTGACATTGACAACTAGTGTCGTTAATTATCATGCAATGCCAATTGTTCACTGCCATTAGCATCTCTTGTTGTGAATCCCCTAATACAAATAATTGTCTGACATTGATGTATTTCATCTATAGTAACCTAACATTATTCATTGGCCAATATGTAACAACAAACAACATGCAACACCTACTAATTAATGATGGCCACGACATATATTCTTGCATGTTCACTTTCCCTCATATCAAGATAACAACCAAGCTGACTAATCTATTGTCATCTAATTTTCAATATTCTTTATCATGTGTAGCCCAACCATTATCCTTCAACAACAAAGAATACTTGTTTGCGAACATCATATGATGTTCATAGTTAATTAACGTTCACTAGTGTCCAACTCTCGACTTTCATCGACGATGATCCTTTGACTAACTCATCGACAATACATACCATACATCCCTTAACCAATATCACCTCACATATGATGGCAAACATGGTCAAATATTTATAATTGGCCAACATCCAACTCTTAACACTCAATATATACCATTGTTAACGTCTTTAGTCCCATAATGTTCGACGAACATCAATCAATGTCTTCTAGCATCTCTAATACATAAACGTCCAATTCTGATGTCCATTTTCAATGCCTCTAAGCCCATCCAACATTCTGCTAGCCAACATCACCAACATCCACAATCAATTAATATTCACTAACTTTTCTTATATAATTAATCAACATTTGATATTGCTTGCCAAAATAACTCACATTTAATATCATTTACTATCATCATAATAAATAATGATCAATAATTTATTTTTTTCTATTATACTCTAAAATTTTTCAATTATGAAAAAAATAATGTTTTCAAATTTAAATTCTTATTATTGAATTAATTTCAGTAGTATTGTCCATGATTTTTACGTGAAAACCCTTGAAAAAGGAGAAAAAAAAAATACATGATATTACCTACTTTGAATGAATTCACTAATGTTTGTTGTTAATTACAAATGATGGGTCATGACTCATGCCCTAAAATCAAATTTGAAAGAATTATCTATTTATCTTTTTAATGATTAACTAGAGCTTTTATAAGTCATTAATATAAATCTATATATCCAGTGGAAGCATATAAAATCATATATATGTTAATATTTCATCATATTTGTTGCGGACTAGAATATACGCGGCAATAGAGTTCAAAAAAAATTTGTCTTAGCATTGTACAGATATCCATCACACAAACAGAAGAAAAATATAACACCAGAATTTTTACGTGGAAACTCTGAAAAAGTGAAAAACTACGGGGACACACTTAGTTGAAAGGATTCCAAGGTTTCACTGCTAAGGTGCGAAGTGTGACATCTAGCAAGCGGTTGAGTAACAAACTTGCTCAAGGATTAGTTGATCGGATGTCATGCACGAAAAAAGGTTGTGTAACTATTGTAATATCCAAGTTTCTGCTGCCTTCTTTTTTTACCTCCGATGACACAATCATAATAAAGTTGTTTCCACTAATAAATTATGTATGACACAATATAAATACTAATGATATTTTAAATGATACTTTAAAAAAAATATATTTGTTAATTTATCTTTATGAATTTTAAAAATAAATATCATGTACTTAATATTGATATAAGAATAATTTAGTCTTTTATGATTAAAAAAACTAAAGTTCATAACACAATTAAATAATTATATTTATTTTATTATTTGTATAAATATGTCAAAAATAATGTAATCATTGATCAAAGTATCAAACAACTGCCAATTTATTTTAAAAAAAACATTTTTTTATTTTTATTTTTTTTTTAATTTAAATAACAACCGTTTCTCAACAAACTTTTAAAAAAGTGTTGTACATCCAAACTAGCTTTTAGTAAAAAGAATATTTTTATATATCTTCCAAACGTCCTTTCCCTCCCATTAAACTCCTCTCTGCCGCGCACCACGCCATCTTCGTGCGCGCAGAAAGACCTTTCTCCAACCTTCTATTCCCCTACAAACCCTAAAGTTTCTCACCATCTCCCTCCCCATCGCTTCCTCCCCAATGCCCCAAATCCAGAAGAAAATGTCCATTCGCTTCGCCCGCTCCCTCTCCTTCCCCCTCCCCACCGCCGCCAAATCTCGCTCCGCCTTCCACCACCGATCCCTCACCCTTCCTCCCCGTCTCCACCCCCTCGTCGCCCAAATCGACACCGACATCCAATCCCTCCGATCCTGGCAACAAAACCCTAACTCCTCATCCTGGATCGCCGACGGCCTCTCCCGCATCGACCACCTCCACTCCTCCTTCTCCGATCTCTTAAACCATCCACAATCCCAAACCCTCCTCCGCCTACGCCGTTCCATCTGGGCCGACCGCCTCCTCGAAGATTCCCTCCGCTTCGCCGACGCCCACGGCTGCTTCCGATCTGCTATCATCGCCTTACATGATCACCTCTCCGCCGCCCACGCCGCCGTGCGTCGCCGCGACGATGCCGCCCTAGCCTCCGCCTCCCGCGAACAGAAGAAGACTGAGAAGCAGTTGCTCAGGTTGGCTGCCGATGCAAGGAGCATTGGGCGGTCTGGGATAGCTCTGTCGTCGGCAAATGCGGAATTGGCCGGCGTTGCCCATGAGGTGATTCTTGGAAATATATAGGAGGTAGTAATATATAACATTTATAAAGAGATACAATTGAAAAAAAATATCAGTATATTTTGATACAAAACATTCAAATTGCTTCAATTCTTTATATTATATATAAGATTAATTTTAATTTAAATCGAATGATTTGAAAACTTATTTTATATAATAAACGCCTTAGACAAAATATATAAAACCCACTTCTGCTTAGGACATCTCCAACCGAATTTCAAATGCTTGAATGACGTTCCTTGCCAGCTCCAGCCGAACGATATAACTTCTGCTATTTGGCTGCTGGTGACAGTGGGATGTCAATATTGACGTTGCACTGTTCATTTCCGACATTTTTATATCTCTACCGAACTTGCCGCGCTAAAGAAGAAACAATTGTTACTTGCAAAAAGGGGAAAAATGGAGTTCCATTGGAGATGAATCCCGACATTTTTTAGTTTCACGACATTTTGAAGTGAAAAATGAGTTTTTCTAATGGAGATGCTCTTAGTCCATGTAGTGGAGAACTGACTGGGCAAAGTTCAGGTGTCTGGTTCGAATCCCCTAGACGACAATATCAACCGTCGGCTCGGATAAATTGGTGTGAGGTTTTAACTGGCCTATGAACAGTATTTACTCCTCTAAAAAAAATCTATAAAATAAAGGAAAATAAGTTTGAAAAGACACCGTACAGTTCTTGTAGGATTCAGCTGATGTTCTGTTGCTTCTAGCTTTCACTAATCACTAAACCACCCGTTCTTAAATGACCAAAACGGTAAAGAGACAAAAAATACCAGGTTCAAAAACCTCACTCCCTAAAAGAATTTCTTCGAAGAATGTTGCAGTTCTTGTAAAACAAAATTCAAATTTTTAACAAGGCTCCGCTTTTTTTTTTTTAGTTAAACCCTTAAAGCTCAAATTAAAGCCACAGGTGACGGTGGCGACTGCGGCGGCTTCAGCGGCAGTGTTCGCCGGAATAGCTATGTTAGCCTCGGCTGCGGTGGCGGGGTTGTCGGCGGCGGGTTTGTCGCCGAAGTGCGTGGTGGGTACCATGTTGTGGAGATCGGCGGCGTTCAAGAAGAGGGTGGAGGAGGAAGGGGAAAGGTGGAGGGAGAAGGCGATGGAGAAAATGGAGGCTGTGGAAAAATCCATTTCCGAATTGGAGGTTTGGAGCCACAGAGTTTTTCGCAGAATGCTGAATACCAGAGTCTTCCTCCTCAACGCTCAAACTCCAATCCTGGAAAATGAGATATTTCTAAGGTGACTGTAGCTCAAAGGGAAAAAAAAGAAAAATTTTATGCATTTGATTCATATTTTTAAATTTTACTCAAAATTATCTTATAATGATATTAATATAGTTTTAATGGTGAATAATATTGAGCAAAATATTGCTGATCAAATGTGTCAGAAACTTTTGAGCTAAGCTCACCTGAACATTTCACTTGCGAATGAATGGGGATGTCCCAAAAAAAAAAAAAAATGAATGGGGAGATTGGAGAACCGAAAGGGAATAAAATTTCAAAAATTGAACAGAAATAAAGATTTTCTTTACTTCTTTTATTTTTTCGTGTTGTGTATCGACAAGATTGATATCATTTATAAAAGTTGAATATGTTTAATCAATGCTTGAGCCTACTCTTCGAAATGAGTTTTTTGGTCATAGCCAGGGGCGGGTGAGCGCAAAAATGTAAGTAAACATGTAGAATTTGGCTTGACCTCTATCTGTTCATATCTTTGATCTTTGTACGCATCACATATATGTTGTGGGTCCAAGGGGCCAGCGCCCCCGATGGGGTTCAACTTGTAAGGATATTTTTGGATTCTCTTTACTTTTTTTTGTTCATCATTCCCTAACAGTAACACCTCTATATAATATCTTTAATTATGTTGGGGCAAATGCCTAAAGAGCATAGTATTTTAAAACTTTTAGGGGGAGGCAATTGCCTAAAAATCTTTGTAATAAAGACTAAAAAATATTTTGAGGGAGATAAATTATCAAAAGAATTATATAATAATTTTTTTTTAGGGGGGAGATCCGCCCTTGGTTAGAGTAGCATGATATATTTTTTTCTTTGACTAATTCAATGATACTCTAATGATTTTTGTTAAATTATAATAAAGACAAGACTCTCAATGTGATAATCTTAATAATACCAAGAAAAAATTCATCTGTGTCTAAAACCAAAATCACATTCTGACATATCATTGAATTTTTTATAAGACCATTTGTAGGATCAATAGTTCTCTAAATTTTATATGTTTATAATTGATATGAGCTTCTTGATGAGATTTATTAGGGGTTAGAGCACCATGATATATTTTTTTCTTTGACTAATTCAAGGATATTTAAATGATTTTTGTTAAATTTTAGTAAAGACAAGACTCTCAATGTGATAATCTTAATAATACTAAGAAAAAATTCATCAGTGTTTAAAACCAAAATCACATTCTGACATATCATTGAAATTTTTACAATACCATTTGTAGGATCAATAGTTCTCTAAATTTTATATGTTTATAATTGATATGAGTTTCTTGATGAGATTTATTACAGAATCTTATTTGATCAATTTTAATATCATTAAGACACTTAGATGCTAACAAATATAAAATGAGCAATAGGATCAACATAAATTATGTAATGAAGTGTCATTGTTTCTAGTTAAATTACTCACAATATTCTATTTAGAAATTTATAAATGTGCTATGCTTCTATAAAATTTAATGAATATCTCATGTTTTAATCTCTAAAGAAAGTAATGGTCCTAAAATATTTAGGCCCCAAGAGAAGGTCAAGATAAGGAAGAGAAAATAATATGGTTGTGAGAAAATGCTGAGCTCTAAGGAGAAGCATGACACTCCTATCACAGTTTCTTTCATAAAATGGTCATTTTAACCTTCATTGTATTTTGTCGCATCATTTAAGGAGTTATAAGTCATGAATTTTTATTAGAGAAGAATAGTTTTCGTCTTTCTCTTTACGAATGTCTCTTCTTTTAATCGTCTATTTAATAATATTCTATCGTATAATTGATCTCTCAAAAATAGAAAGAAAGAGAGAGAACGAAAACGCCCCATAAAAATATATATATACTAAAAATATATTAAGTTGTGGTTTAAATTATTCTAATAGCATTCAAATTGGTATGAACATTCTCTCCCATACTTTATTCTTTATCGAGTTAGTCTTTTCATAACACTTTGTTTCCTCTTTTCCGAAATTTTTTCAACTTATTATGAAACAAACTAATAATTTTTCTCCTTTTCTCACATAAAGACAATCATGATACTTGTGCCAATCTTTCAAATCTTTCTTTTTTTTTTTTTTTTTGACTCATTTGTACATAAAATTTATTTCTCCTATTCAGGATGAATTTTTCAACACGCAATAAGAGTAAATTTTACAATTAATTTATAATAAAATTCATAAATATATTAACATATTAAGTTAAACAGCGGGAAATATAAATATTATAAAATCTAATTAATCTGTGTCGCGTCCAGGAATATTCGTGACGTTGTAGAAGTGATATAGAATAGCATCTTGCTTTGAACGAAGATCTAGCACACAAAAACAATAATAGAAGTATGGTTTATAGCGTTTCTAAAGGGAACGCCATACTTTTATGTGAAATCCCCTGATAAGGAGAAAAATCACCAGGGTCTAGCCCAAGTTTGAATGAATCACACTACACGAAAATCAACTATTACCGCGGATAATGTCCGGCGGCTTTCGACAATTACCACTTTTCCGCAGCTTTTCGGCACTTTTCGGCGGTGGTTTTCCCATGGAATTTTCCGGCGGCTTTTCACTTTTCCGACGGCTTTTTAAAAAATTAAAAAAAAATAAATTTTAAACTATTTAAATGATTTAACAAATAATTAATAAAAGTTATATTAACTATTTAATTAATATTCATTTTTAAATTAATTAGGTAGTTAATTTTTATTTTATATTAATTATTATTTTTTATTTTAAATTAATTAGTTTCTTTTTTTAATAATTAAAAATTTATTTATTTACGGTGAGAATATAGTTTAAATAAAAAATATTGACACTATAAACACATTTAGACAATTAGCAATTCGGTCGGTAGCCCGAGATTCTTCCCAACTGACCCCAGTTCGATCCTCAAGGCATGCAAGCGCGGGCACACACTCGCGCTGGAGCGGTCGCCGGCGCAGCACGAAAGCGGGAGTCGGGGGCGCTTCGCCGGTATCCCGCGGGAGCGGTCGCCGGCAGCTCGGGTGTGGGGTTGCAGTGGCGGTGATATTTTATTATTATTATTTTTTAATTTTACCGGCGATTTATGATCACCGGAAAGCAGCCAGAATAATTTGCCGCCGGTAAAAACCGTCGGAATTTATTTTCCTGCGCCGTTTTTACCGGCGGTAAATTAACCGCCGAAAAACTACAAAACCGCAGGAAAAAGTTCAATTTCTGCTAGAAAAGGTCGTTCGAAATGGGTGATTTTCCTGTAGTGTCAACTAGTGTTTGTAATCGATTAGAAATGAGGCCCTTCCTTAAAAGGATGGTCTTGACTTGATGTAGCAAATATACATCATATAGAGTGCATTCTATGGTGGGTGTTGGAAGAATAAATGTTGATATATTTGTTTAGGCGGCATGACCATAGTCAGCGAGTGATGTATCAGAATGAACATAGTCGGATGACGGTGGTAGGAAGGAACATAGTCGAATGACGGAGATCGAAAAGATTGTAGTCAGGCGGCGGTGGTTGGAAAGACTGTAGTCGGCGGGCGACGATGGTCGGGATGACCATAATTGAGCGACGATGGTTAGAAGGATTGTAGTCGCGGGCAACGGTGGTCAGAAAGATCGTTGTCAGCAGAAGACAGAGGTCAGAAGGACCGTAGTTGACGATGATTTTTGGAAAGACCATAGTCGGCGGGTGGCAGAGGTCGGGAGAACCGTAGTTGGGCGACGGTGGTTGGAAGGACCATAGTCGGCGGGCTATAGTGGTCAGAATGGTCGTAGTCGGCGGAAGAAGAATGTCAAAAGGATCGTAGTTGGCGATGGTGGTTGAAAGGACCATAATCAGTGGGTGACAGAGGGCAGGAGGACCGTCGTTGGGCAAAGGAGGCCAAAAAGATCATAGTCAAGCGACGGTGGTCGGAAAGACTGTAGTCTGTGGGCAACGGAGGTCGAGAGATACTCTTGCGGTTGTCGACAAACGAGTGGAAGTACGTTAGTGATCGACGAACGGGCGAAGGTCTGACGATAGTCAGGAAGAACACCGATAGTGATCAACGAACGAGATGAAGTGCACTGGTAGTTGATGAACATGCGGAAGTCCGACAATGGCAGGGAAAAACTCTGGCGGTGCTTGGTGGTCGAGAAGAAGCTCCCAAATTCTTCCCTTCTCTTCCGCCTCTCTCCTCCCTCCAAGTAAAGAATGGGGGCATTTTTATGATTTTTTAAGAGTGACATGACTTGTAAAAATGCAGAGGATCAAAGTCAAGATGGGAGTGATTTGAATGGACGATTGATATTGATCCCTTTGATCGTGGATCATTTATTAAGCATTTGAATGTCTTAGTTACATAAGAATTCAATAATCTTGGACTCATTGGATTCTTCTCATCGAACCGTTGTATTCGACAATAAACATGTCATATTCGACGATTATTTGGTTATCCAATTAATGCTTTGAACCTTTGATTTCATCTCGGATTGAATCAAATTTGATGTCGTTGGGTTCTCCTTGAAATGTTCAATTCGACTATAAGTTTGATGAAATCGAAATTTAAATGGTCCCAGATTTAATTTCCAAAGCCGCAATCTCATATTTCCATCAAAATTTGTGCTAAATCTAGACATTTTTTTGTTGAAATATCAATATGAGATTTTAAATTATTTTCTCTTTTATCTCTCTTAGTACAAATATATATCTAGAAACTATTATTGAGAAATATAGCATTTTTCTAAAATTTTACGAGATGACAATGAGATAATTGAATTGTACAAGATCCTTGAATTTAGCATTTTTGGGGACCCGGTCTCCTCAGTTATTAATGAAACCAAAATGGGCAAAGCATCCAAGTACACCAAAGTGGTCCCATTCCCAGATCTGCCCTTGCAAATACGGAATTAATAAACATACGGCCATCAAAAGAATCATTATTTAAACCATCTACAAATATATGGATTTTAAATCATTTTAAATATTTATTTATTTATTTGCTTATTTATATAACTCATAATCGATAAAATTGAAGAAATATTCAGGATATTTATTTTCTTTAAAAATATGATTAAAAATTCCTTTCAAATGAAATTACTCTTGTTGTGTACATGGTTGTTTATATCATTAATGATGTTTTTAATCTTCAATTAGTAAGATATTTGTTGCACTTTAGCTGTATTTTTACTATGCTTTTGTAAAAACGCAGAAAATACTCAGCTAAAGTGCATTCATAATTGCATATTTGTTGCGCTTTTATTGAGTATTTGCAAAAGCACGGCGAAATGAGAGTAAAATGACAGCAAATCCGAACAATTCGTACCGTCCGATCTCCGCACAGAATAATTTCTCGTAATTGTGAGGTGGTGGAATCTCCGAATATAATTAATAACACGTTGCCATCATAGGATCCTGATGAAATTAGATTAACAGAGGTCATTTAGGTCACATACTGTCACTTAATATCTATAAAATATTTATTTTGCTACACTTCCAAAGAAATTCACATAATCAATCAAAAGAGAGTCCATTTTGTTATAGCAACCTAATAAAGTGTGTGAGAATTCAATGCTCCTTTATTTGAAAGGGACATTGAACCACCTATATAGATAAAAAGGGGTATGATTTATTTTTTTCTTTTGGGAGGTTTGGGGGCAAAAGTGTACAATTATAACTAATAGGAGTGAATACAAAATAACAATTTTTGTTAAAGCAATTATGGTGCTACAAATAAAATTGTTGAGATTACCACCATAATAAATAATAAAACGGATAAGAGTATGAGTGAGTCAAATCGAATCTTGAGCCCACTCATGCTCGACTCAATGAATAGCTCGCAAACTGAACTCAATGAGCTAACAAGTCATGCTTGAGCCAACATTAAAGTGTGTAAAGTCAATGAGCTCGCTAACTCGCGAGACAACTCATTTAAAAAATATAAATATAAAATATACTTTAGATAAATTTGTATTAAGAATTTTAAATATAAACTAATTAAAAATATTTAAAAATTATCTCGCTTTCTTATATTAAGTGATTATTTATTATCTTTATTCTAATTTCTCTCTTTTTTTTTTTTACTCTTTTATTATGAAATTTGCACGAATCATAATCATTTTTTCTCTTTCAAAATAAATAAGTCAACACAAACTCATAAAATAAAGCACAAGCTCAAGCTTTAACTTGATTAATTCATCAAACACAAGCTAGTGGTTACTCGAGTTCGACTCAACTCTTTTACACCCCCTAAAAACAATTAAATGAGATCAGGTGATAGGATAAATCACTGCAAAAATCATTATAAGTTGTAACTCTGGTGGAAGATAAGATTAGAGAGAGTCGTCTTAGATGGTTTGATCACATAAAATGACAACCTTCTAATGGCCCGGTTAAGACTTTAGAGGTATTATATTTGACTTGTGTTAAGAAAGGTAGATATAGACCTAAAAATGACTTGGTTAGAAAATATTAGAAATGATCTTTCTTTATTAGATTTAAACGAGAAATTGATTTTTAACACTATACAATGGAGAAAAATGATTCTTGTAACCGGCCCCACGTAATGGGACAAAAGCTTGAAGTTGTTGTTATTGTATAGTCGTATCATCCATCATAAAATCAAAAACAAAATATAGAAACCAAACTTGAGATCATCATTATCATCATTGGATTTATCCCAATTATAAAGGATATTTTTATGATGCTACAGATGAACACTAAGGCATAATAAGCATGAATGTTAGAAGTAGAAGTTCAAAGAGTCCAGACAAAGAAGCCCAGTTTATTCATCTGCATTAACCGGCTGTTCATTCAATTCCACCATTTTTTTTTCCAAGAACTCTAATGCGAAGCCTGCATTTTTAACGTGTTATTATTATTGATCATAACAGTATACAAAAGAAATACTGAAGTTGAAGGAACGTTGGGAAGTACCATTGTAACTAAAGCATCTATCACGTGATGATTCAACTCTTATAAATAAATAACATTAAGCTAAAAGATTCTTCCTAACAATGAAAACAACATAATGAAATTGTGTGCAACTTAAATATGCATGGCAAATAAACTTTAATGGAATTCAAAGAGTGATAGTATAGCAAACATTTCAATAATAATTGCAAGTGAAGATTGCATTCCATGCTTTAAAGTTTAGTGTTTTGTTAGAAGATTTCTCATTTATTTAACCAAAACCAATATTTGCGTTCAGTTCAAACTCTTAACTATCGAGATATTGTCCACTTTGATCTAAGAACCTCACGGTTTTGTATTGTTGGTGTGACTTCCCGGGAGATCATCTATCTCAGGATTTCTTCGGGATGAGCACGCTTGACTGTGGTGTTTCTTAGTAAAATTCTAACAATTACATCAAAAGTTGCGTCAATGTTTAAAAATTTAGTTTCGTAAAGGATTTCACATTGTCTACCTTGCCTTGCTTGCTCAATTATCTCAAATGATTGAAGTATGCAAAGATTGAAAGCATGCTTTTGTAGCTTTTATGACGTTTGATAATGGATTAAAGCAGATTGATCAGTGGGCGGTTTAATTGTTAGTAAGATGGGCTTGATGATGATTACGGAAACTCTTTTACTGATGTTTAATGCTGGAATGCACTAAATAAAAACATAATAATAGGTAATATTTCTATGTTAGTTACTAGCAACAACAAATGACTTCGGTTATTTGCATATTACCCTTACATTACTTGAACCCAATATTAAACTATGCTTATATCATGCATTTCGCCTTGCAGACCCGCATTAAATCAGTTCATTCCTCTTATTTCTTTGAGCACCCTTATCAAGTCTTTTACATCATTCCTGTAAGGTACTATATTTCATCACTTCTATCATATGGAACACATCAATGAAAGAAATTGTAAGTTTGGGGGCATTATCACAACTCTGCATTACTGTTTAACTACTTCTTACTAGCTGCTTTTAAAAAAAAAAAAATTCTTTTCTCGCAACAATTCAGCAACAACTACAAACAGTTCAAGCCACCCCAACTAACTACTCTTTTCAACCACCCTAAACTAACCTTAGGTATAGTTTGCCTTTGTTTGCATGGATGGATTCAAAGATCTTCACAACTGCTCATCTATCACATTTTTATAGCTTGTTCTTGAATTTTATTGCTTAAGAAATGATTGACTTCCAACCTTACTATTATCATCATTGCAAGATCCCATAAGCAACAATGAGAGTCTTCCTCCTCAGAATTGGATAACAAGCGTCCACCTCCCAGATATAATTTCTTCAATTCTTTGACAATTCCATGGCTTCTCCACCTCTCATCTGTAATTTGTAGTGCAACAGAAGTTGCAACCCTTTTGTGTAGTCAGCAACCGATAATATGACTTCCCCCATAGGAAGGTATGGTGTATATTGCTATGGGGGTAAGGAAGAAGCGTGGGAAGTAGTGCATGGCAGCAGCGCAAGGAATGTAATGGGGAGTGAATGTGCAATGTTGTAGCGGAGTTATGGAGCTTATGAAGTTGCGCAATGTAAGCATCGCAGTAGAAGAATCTTAATTAGAGGAGTTTGGAGCTCTGAAGGGTTGGTGGAAGGGTATGTAGTATTTGATTGGATTAGCGTGCTAAAGCAATTGTGCATGGCAATAACAGACCACGCTGATTGTATAAAAGAATTTTGAGACTAAGCAGCACCAATTCAACACTATGAAAAGGCTATATTAGCATTTTCTACTTCAAATGCCCTTAGAGGATACAGTGTAGAGGCAATTATACCACCTCATTTTAGTGGAGTAATTGATAATGATGAGTACATTAGTGATATTAATGGCTAAAAAGCGCATGGATTTTAAGTTTAATGTTTAAAGAAGTGTTCTAGAGTTTACAGTGGAATAGTGAAGGGTTTGGAGGAAAATAGTGATAGGAATACCAAGACTGATCCAAAATGCGCTAGGTTGAGTTGATTTGAAAGATTTCTTTGGAACAAAGGTTTTAGGAGGGGTTTAATGGCTGAAAATAACTATGTTATGGTTAGCTTAAAATAAGTACTTATAACTTGGAGTAGATGGTGGTTAGGTATGCTAGAATTTAAGTGGCTGTCAAGGAGTAGGGAATAAAACTAAGCCTTAGTATTCCCTGATTTGACCGAGTTATATGAGGGTGTGTGAAGTAATTGTGATGTAAAACAATGAAGATGAAACAAGAATTGCTTATACGAAATTAATAAAATGTGAAATTTGCTCGGCTAAACATAAACGGATGCGTATTCAAGTTAGATCTTAGGAAATTCCACGGAAGGCCCAAGTAATGACAAGTTATTACAATAGAGATTAATAGGAAACTTGCAAAATTACATCATCAAATAAATGAGTAGGGCAAATGGCATGTAACAAAATCCACAGTTTAAAATTAAGATCATTCACCTTGGGATCCCTCACTTACACTCTTGATAATGATCGGCTTAGCGGAAGAAGGTTGCAAGCAAGCTTAGGGATGCCACTAGTAGACACGTGAGGCCAAGGTGGCTAGTCGCCGGGGAAGGATCCAGAGTTGGAGGAACGGGTAGTCGTCCGGTGATCTTCCACTCTTCAAAAGATTTTTGTTCGTCGATGACTTCTGCTAAATGGGGGAGGATACGATCCACGTATTCCTTGATGGTGCCTTAGGCTCCAAATACAGGGGTCAAAGAATGGTGATCGGATGACGTCAATCTCCCATTGAGAATTAAGCATAAGCTTGTGATCAACTTCCGGATGGGTCATAAATGATCATGGAAGGGCTTGGGGTAGGGGTGTAAACGAGTCGAGTCGAGTTTTGGCACTATCGAGCTCGGCTCGTTAGTCGGAAAGTGAGCTCGAGCTCGGGTCGAGCTCAAAAGACGAGCTCGAACTCGAGCTCGTCACACTATTAACAAGCTCGAGCCGGCTCGCAAACTACTTGATTATGATTAGATTTTGCATTTTTCTCATTTTTTCCCGCCTAATTTTTCATTTTGCCTCTTGTCCTTTTGTATTTCAAAAAGTAGAAACACTAGGATTTGTTTTTAGCATGAACTTGCAACATTTTTTTTGGGAAAAGTAATTAATAGTTTTTTATTCATACTTTCTTAAAACTTCTCTCCTATATTAATGAAGATGAGGTTAGGTTGTACTATCATATCAGAAGTCCTGTCATATAGGCCGAAATAGGTATATTTTTATTGAATAGCCATCCTTTTTTTTAAACTATGCCCAAACTCCTCTGAGCAGATTTATTTTTTTTTAACTAAAAATATGTTAGCTAATTAATCTAATTAATTAAATAATTTCGAGCCGGCTCGCGAGCTCACGAGCCAAGCTTGAACCAGCTCGAACTCGAGCTCGTTTAATAAACAAGCTCGAGTTTGAGCTCGAGCTCGAGCTCGTTAACGAGTCGAGTTCGAGCCGGCTCGGCTCACTTACACCCCTAGCTTGGGGTGTTGTGGTGGGAGAGCCGCCACTTGGGAGGGGTGGCCAAGAGGAAGAGGAGAGAGGTGGGTGGGCTCGGGTTGGAGGAGGTGGAGAAGGGGGCGGCTAGGACTAGGTTAGGGTTAGGAAGAATTAATAGAGACTGAAATTAATTTCAGATTAAGTGAATTTGGAGGGAAAGAAAGTGAATTTGATTTCAAATTCAAATTGGAGTTGGGCTTGAGAGGGAAATCTATGTGGAGCCCAAGCATGGGGCTGGCAGTAATAAGAGAGAGGGAGGGATTGTGGGGAGGGATTCAAGAGCTTCCAAAACAAGTTATGTAAATTAGGAAAGGAATTATCATATCCAATCTAATGGAAATTCAAATTGGATTTAGATTTATTCGCTTTCCTAATTTGGAATTCCAAATAAGGAAAGTATTTAAAATTTGAATTTCAAATAATTAGAATCATTTCCCTCTTTTTTGGTTTAATTTAGGAAAGCACTTAAGGTGAGAGAAATCATCACAATGATGGGGAGTGTGGAGTTGGCTGGCGGCATGGTGGGAAAAAGGGAAAATTGGATCGGGTGGAGGGGGAGAAGCCTTAGGCCGGCAGGTGGAGGTGGGGTTTGGTGGTGGTGTTGACGTAAGGCGGGGAGGTGGTGATGTGCTGTCGGATAGGGAGGAGGGAGGGGAGCTCGGGTGGTGGAAAATGGGGGAGAAGAAGAAAAGATAGAGGAAAACCAAGAGCTCACCCGCAGGGGTTGTTGGGTACTTCGATTGAGCCTCTCCTAGGCTTCACCACTATCTCTTGAACTCACAAAGAGATCCAAAAATAAAAGCTGAAATTTTCATATCAATAATCATTAACTAGTACAATGCAAGAGGCCTCCTATAAATAGGCCCAAATGAAAGAAAATAGAAAAGATTAAATTGCCCTCAGACTACAACATAGACTCAATTCCTCATAGGGGTAAAACGGGAAACATAAAACAAAAAATACATAAAAAATACAAGCTCTGAATCTTAGCCTTTGACCAACGACTATGTCAACGATACACATGTCGAAATCTCTGACTGATGTCCTCATCAAATTGTGAGAGCTTGGGTGAGGGGAAGTTGATCTTGGAGAATTTTTAGGATATTAAAGAAAATATGAGGATGATTTAAGTAGGTGTTTAAATAGGTAGAAAGTAAAAATATAGAAATAAATAAGATAAGTATCAAAATCTCACCAAATATTAGAAAAACTTCAGGCCACCAAGCACCAAATAAAAATGAAGAGTATTTCTCCGCTAAAGTATTTCATTCAACAAAAAAAAAAAATATAAGCATTACAATACTCTTACACAAACACATCTAGACGAAAAAAAATAGAGAGAGAGAGAAAAAAAGGATTTGGTGGCCATTAATCAAGAGAGAAATTTAACGACTTACTGTTATTACTTCAATTTT